CTTGCCGTGGCACTTGGATCGGAGCGCGAGCTGGCGTCGGTACGGCGATCGGAGCGGGGGCTGGCGTCGGCGTTTCGTGATGCGTCGGGGCAGCTGGTTTTGCTTCGAGCCACGTACTTCCTGGCTCCAACTCGAGCGTCGAGTACAACTGGCGCGCTTGCTTGTACTCGTTCTCGGTCTTGACTAGGTACGAGTCCCAATCGCTGGGCCGCAGTTTGGGCCAGTCATGGTCGCCGACGGGCTTGAAGTGTCGATCGACGTGGTCGCTCATCATGTCGGTGCGCAAGCGGTCGCAGCCGGCCGTGCAGTGGTCGACGACGACGCGCATGGAAAGAAGACAGTAGCGGCAGCAGTAGTCAGGTGGAAGCTTGAAGTACTGCTTGCGCCGTGGCGGCGCCTTGCCCGTCGTGACCTTGCCGCTCAAGATAGCGCGGTGCAAATTCGTGCACGTCTTGGTCGAGTGGAGCTTGACGCAGTAGTCACACGTCTCGTTGGCACCTCCAACCCAGCGCGCGGCGGTGGCAGGTTCGTCTTTTGCTTCTTGGAGCACGGGACGCGCCGACTTGATGTGCTGTGTCAGCGCAGCCTTGTCCATGCGTTCGATCGACGACACGTCGCTCGGCACTTGAGTGCGCCAGTGGTGCGCGAGGAACGCCGTCTCCAAGCGCGTGGCGACCAGTGCCTTGTACGCCTCAAAGCGGTCCATCTCGACGGTACTCAAGAGCATAACGCACGGTGGCTTGAAGTGCAGAAGGGGCGAGAGGAAGGCGTCCGCCGCGTTGGCAACACCCCGAACAAACACATCGACACCATCGGCCACCCGCGGTGGATCCAGGAGGCCGTCGAGAGACCCAAGCAAGCTTGGCTGCTCCTTGGTGAGCAGCGACAACCAGAGCTCGCGCGGATCGCTCGTGCCAGCGACGACGCTGTGGAGACGCGGATGCATCGCAGAGACGAGGTACGCGTGCGCTTCGTTGGCGCGTCGGGGCCGCCCTTGCGTGATAAACGCCTCGAGAGCTGCGAGCACGCGCTCGTCTTCGCCGTTGGAGACTAGAGTGTGGCCAAAAGCACGTAGCTCTGCGTCCACGTCGTCAAAGTTGGAGTGCGAGTAGTACGCACGAAAAGGACACGCCTCCAAGAAGCCGGCCTTCCACGCCGAGAAGGTGTCAAAGGACTGGAGCAGTATTCCCGCGTAGCTGGCCATTGCAAAAAACAAATGACCTCGCGGCAGGCATACCTTGCCTATGTCGCCCAACGGTGCGTTTCTGGGAAAGGGAGTTTGTTGCAGCATCCCAACGAGCCCAACGGTGCGATCTCTTGTGTAGCCAGCGACTGCCCAGGTGACTTGGGTAGATCGGCAAGAGAGGCACTCAAAATGGAGCTTCAGGACGGGATTTTGTGGTGAAAGTCGCAACCTCCCTCGGTCGCTCAAAATTTGTCATCATTTCCACGTGTGATCGATGCGTCGCAAAGGCCTGAGATTGACAACTTCCACTCCCCTATACCCTTCTCTGATCGTCTTTTGGACTCTGCTGTGTCCCTGTCAGTGAGACTAGGATACGTCTCGGTAGGAGACACATATCTCAAGTGAGGGACGGATTAGCCTTCAAGAGTATTGTGTGGACGGCTTGAGGGCTGACGGCTTCGGCTGCGGTCACCCTGTAGATAGGAAGCTCTCTTATTGACCACAGTACTCCATGTTGACGGGCTATTATCGGGTGGTAGGGTTGGCGTCACCGGTTTGAAGCCCGCCGGTCTAGCACGATATGCAGTGCATCATTCATACGGTTGCAGCCTAGAATATCGAGAGGCGCAGAGGATGCAGTGAGAAGGACATGTGCGCCAACAAGCCGTCCAATAGCTCTTCTCTCCCAGTCCTATCCGTAGCTACAACCCGAACCAAAGAGTAGCCAATATCCATGCCATTATGCATCCATGCGATCTCTCGCCGCACATCATTTCTTGTTTTTCATTGCCTGGCCATGGCGCGCCCACCGTCACCGAGCTTGTCGGGGTCCGTCGCGACGTGGCTTCTCGGCCACCTTGGCGACCAACGCGACGCTCTTCGTACCCCGTGGCGAGACGGAAGATGGGCGGTTCATTTACCACTTGGAGGGATGGTACAAAGAGACACAGTCCAGTACGTTCCTCCTCGTCCTCGGCAACCAAAACATGATTGTGACCAAGGACCCGGCCGTCTACAGGGCGGCACTCGGGCTCAGCCATCAAAAGTACTTTGACAGGTCGCCGTCCATCACCGCTGTCATAACGTACTTTCTGCCTCGGTCCTTGGGTGCCGTCACGTCGCACGACTGGTCGCGCATCCGCCGGACGCTACAGCGCGGCATGGCGATGCAGAGCTTCGGCAGCCTCCCGGCGCTCGTCGCATCGTCCATCCAAAAGCTTGAGCAAAGTATCCGTCGAACGACAAGGATGTGCTCACCGTCGTGCCCGAAGATTTATTTCCTCGCCTCACGTTCAAGCTCTTCCACCGCCCTCTTCCACCGCATCATGTACCATTGGGATCTCAACACGGTGGCCGGCGACTCGATCAACTTGCTTCAAGCCGCGCTCCACCTGAGTGAGATGTTTGCCAAGCGGGTGATGCTGCCGTTCCCGCTCTTGTGGAAGCTACCATTGCCGCACAACTACGAAGCTGACGCGGCACTCAACGACTTGCACACCAAGGTCGTCGAGCTCGTCAACGCGCGGCGTCAGTACCTCGCGTCCCTCAACGAGCTACCGCAGCCCACGTTGCTCGCCTACGTTCTTGGTGCGCTCGAGGACGAGACTCTTTCGACGGGCCAAGTCTACGACAACGTCATGGCTTCTTCATTGCGGCGTTCGACACGACGTCCAATGCGCTCGCCCTTCTCTTCAACAACCTCGCACTGTATCGCACCGTCGCTGGCTCCCTAGTCCTTTGCCCCTCCATCCATGGTGATAAATACACGTCCCATATTGTTTTTACAGCTCGACGACGTCTACTTGGAGAGCGCGTTGGCGCGGAGCCAGTCATCGAGTGTGCGTGCAATGTCCATCATACTCGGTCGCGCTTGCGGGTCGGAGCGCAGACACGCGGCGAGAAGCGATCGGTGTTCGTCGGGACACGCCGAGGCCGCGTCGATGCTGAGCCGGTGGCCTTCGAGCACGAGCGCCGCGGCTTCCTGCGGCGGCATGTCGCGGCCAAACGGCTCCGTGCCCACCATGATCTCATAGAGGAGGACACCAAACATATACGCGTCCGAAGCCGGCGAAAACACGT